AAATTATGAAGGTTCATAACATTGTATAGCGTTCGATCCTATGGGGAAGTCGCAGCCGATCAAAATTTCAAAGGACTAAGAGTCACTTCTCGCCGCTTCCTTTTCCTCAATCTGTACGATATGTCTTCAAAAAATATCATAATGTTGACATATACAACAGGTCTAATTTCATCTGCGACCGTGCATGGATAAACTCTTATATGCCACTAAAACAGGATTTACATTTTGATCCCCTCGATCAATGGATACAAGAATAACAAATGAATTCACAGCGATTCTGATCATGACATATCCTGAGCTTGCTGTCTTAACCATTTTGTATACCAAAAGTTTGAAACTGATGGGCCCCCATGATTTATTTCTAAGAAACCTTGAATAAAAAAGTGGAAATAATAAGGTCAATTCTCAAAGATCCGTGACTTAAATTTCTGCACGTATGCGTTGCGAAGCAATCAAACTCTGTCGTTTTGTCCTTAATATAGTACAAAAGTGCAAAAATATTATTTTTGCGAAAAGGGATGTGAAAGAGAATCCGTAAGTTTTTCCTTCTTTTGTTTCCCTTCTTATCAATGATTAGCAACTAAATCTAGCCTAGAGAGCAATTCATGCATTAGGTATGACTGCCTTGTTTTTCTGCCTTGATCCTTCGCAGACTGAAGGACCCTATGGGGAAGTCGCAGCCGATCAAAATTTCAAAGGACTAAGAGCCAGTCCTCGCCGCTTTCCTTTTCCCAACCTTTACGAAATGTCTTGAAAAAGACATTAATATGATCAAATTTGCAGCAAGTCCGGAATTCAGTTTTGCCGGTGAACGCATACACGTAATCTCATTCTGATCAATGGCATGGATAGGCATATAGAAGGATAACAAATGAATTCATGAAGTGATTCTGATCATGACGTATTCTAAACTTGCTGCCATAACCCTTTTCTTAAAATTTACCGCAGTTGCTAAAAGTTCGAAATCGTTTAAACGCTTGATTTCTGAGAAAAATGCTACTCTTAACCTGAGATAATGAAACGTAAAGAAGACCAATGAACGATGCGTGACATACCGCTTAAATTTCTGAAACAAATCTCGTTATATTTAAATCTCTGGAAACGCTATGAATGACGCCAGATTTTTCTAGCGATTCCAAAAATCCTATAAGTTTGGGTGAAAACCTTTAATTTTCATCTGTCATCTGTCTCGCTTTCCGAGAACCACATAGAAAGTAACCAACAGACAACAGCGATTGAAACTGACGGCCCCCAAGTTTGATTTCTCAGAAATCTTAAATAATTAAGCCGAAATAAGGTCAATACTTAAAGATCCCTGACATTGTGCTTAAAATTTCTCATAA